GAGGCCGGCCGGCACGGGATGGGGACGCGGCGCCTGAGACCTGACGTTGCCCTGGCCTCTGCCGCAGGCGCTGTCCTGACGTTCCTGGACTCGCACGTGGAGTGCAATGTGGGGTGGCTGGAGCCGCTGCTGGAGAGGGTCCGCCTGAGCCGGGCCAAGGTCGCCTGCCCCGTCATCGAGGTCATCAGCGACAAGGACATGAGGTAAGGCAGCTCACGCCCCTGGGAAGCCCGAAACCCACACCAGCGGCTTGAGCAAAAGCTCTTACTGGGACCACCAGCATACTACTTGCAGGAAGACACCGGTCCAGACCTCCTAACTGGCCTTCAGCAGCGTTTCACAAGGGATACGTAACGTCGCTGTACACCAGAAATTAACGTTAGTGGTGGACGTGGCCCCTTCGTTTGTCACACGCATCTTTTCCCTTTTTCATGACTTTTAGCACATGAAGAGGATTCCTGATGAAATCTGTTAAAATCCTGTTTTAATTATGTACAGATATTCATCTTCACTCATTAAGGGTGACATTTCAATCAGGAATGTGACTCAGAATTAGTCATCCCGATCTTTTCTCCGTTTAGTTACATGACCGTGGACAACTTTCAGCGTGGGATTTTTACGTGGCCAATGAATTTTGGATGGAGGCAGATTCCACAAGAGGTCATCGAGAAAAATAATATCAAGGAAACTGACATAATAAGGTAAAAAAAACCACAAATGTGAGAGCTTTGTGAACCAACCTGTTCCTTTGTTAATAATTTAGCAGCAAAGGCTCCTTCGAGGCCAAACGTTGTTCCTTTGCTTGTAAGGACAACGGAGGCGGTGGTACGCTGTGGGCAGTCACACCGTCAGGCATGGGCAGAGCACAGCAACCTTTCTCACCTCTTGCGGCACTGCTGGCGTTTTCCCGGTGCTGCCAGGCTGGGGGAACGCACCGTTGCATTTTTCCCTTCCGTGCCCCGTTACGGCTTTCAGACTGGGTAAAGCCACCTAAATATCGTCTGTTTTAACTTTGCATCTGGCAGCCTGCAGTGAAGTGACAAATCAGGCGGCCCTTGCTGTACGTGCAGGCTCAGGCACCGTCCCCGAGCATTTAGTAGCCAGCAGCTTCTCAATGATTCCCTCGCCAAAGCAAGCGGAAAGGGACGGGTGCTTCCCGACCAGCTGACGTGCCGTGTGGCTTCTCCATTCCCAGGTGCCCGGTCATGGCGGGTGGCCTGTTTTCCATCGATAAGAAGTATTTTTTTGAGCTGGGAACATATGACCCAGGACTGGATGTTTGGGGAGGTGAAAATATGGAGATTTCATTCAAGGTATGTCGCGCTCACACGCCTGCATCCCCACCAGCCTGGCGCAGGTGCGTGGGGCTCAGCCAGGGTCTCCCTGGGGCAGCCCCGCGCTGGAGACCCCCTCCCTCCCGGCAGTTTATTTCCTTCTCTGCTTCTGTCCTGGCTTGCACAAAGCCAGCACCCGCCATTTGCCTGTGTTTTTATCAAAGCAACCTCTGTTTCTCAGGTCTGGATGTGCGGGGGAGAGATTGAGATTGTTCCGTGCTCCAGAGTTGGGCACATTTTCAGGAACGACAATCCTTACTCCTTCCCGAAAGATCGGGTGAGAACGGTGGAGAGGAACTTGGCCCGCGTTGCGGAGGTCTGGCTGGACGAGTACAAGGAGTTATTCTATGGCCACGCTTACCACTTAGTCTTGAAAAACCTGGATGTGGGCAACCTGACTCAACAAATCCAACTGCGAAAGAAGCTTCAGTGCAAAAGCTTCAGGTGGTACCTGGAGAACGTCTACCCGGACCTGGAAGCTCCTCTGGTTAAAGCCAGCGGGCTGGTACGTACAAAAATGACTTACTGTCCTTCGTAGAGTCATGGAATCATGGAATGATTTGGGTTGGAAGGGACCCTTAGAGCCCACCCAGCCCAGCCCCTGCAGTGAGCAGGGACAGCTTTAACCAGACCAGGGTGCTTACAGCCCCGTCCAGCCTGGCCTGGGATGTTTCCACGGATGGGGCATCTCCCACCTCTCTGGGCAACCCCTTCCAGTGCTTCACCACCCTCAGTGTAAAAGATTTCCTCTTTATATCCAGTCTAAATCTATTCTTCTGTAGTTTAAATCCATTACTCCTTGTCCTGTCACAACAGGCCTTGCTAAAAACATTTAAACACGTTTTCAGTGGCTGGCTAGGGACTTGGTAGCTTGTCTCTGAATTGCTTCCCTGGCATTTGGTAACGTTTGTGAATATGTCATATGTCACGGTGGTCTGGATTCCCCGGTATTGTTATAAAGAAATAGGTCATAATTCCAAGAGAATTTCCCGTTAAAGAACCATTTCAGTGTTTAAGCCCCAGGTGAGCTGCCCATGCAGCAGGGGCTGTGCCTCCAGGGCGGCAGCTCCGGCACCCTCCCTACCTGCCCAGCTTTTTGGCCACGGCCAAAATCATCATCGGGGCGGATGAGGGGTGCCCGGGCAGCGCAGGCAGGGAGGGCAGGAGGCCGGGGCCGGGCGGAGGCAGGGTTTGTACCAGTGCTCTGCTGCCAGCAGAGTGCAGCAGAAATCTGCTTTTGCTCGGCGCAGGCAGAGGCTCAGCCCGGAGAGTCCTGGTTTCTCCAGCGCAGGCGAAGCCTGCGGGCAGAAAACACCTGGAAATGCTTTTTTGGGTTAAGTCCTCCGTCCTGCCTCCACAAGCCCTTGCTGGCTGGGTGGCCGAGGAGCGTGACCGGGGCAGGCTCCGTTTCTCCTCCGCCATCCCTCCGGCTCCGTGCCAGGGAACTGGTGGGGCTCTCCGGCACTGGGTCCTACTTGCGCAGCGGCTCCACAGGTGTTCAGTGTCGCTTCACCAACATTAGAAAGTGAATTAAACAAGAATAAAACCTGGGTTCTGAATTTGGCCCAGCCCTGAGCCTCAGCAGAATACCGGCTGCTGCTTTGAACGTTCAGAAACCTCAAATATTCCGCCCAGAAAAGATGCAGTATTGACTGCAATCTGGTTATAATTGCAATAACAAAGGCAAAATACCTGGTTTGTCAGGAAAATTACAGCACTGCCAGGAATGAAAACTAAAGGGTTTGCTGCCTTCCCCACCCATCCCCGTCTCCCGGTGCCGCAGCGGGAGCAGCGCTTGCCGAGAAGAGGTGGGCAGGAG